TCAGATCATGCTTATGGAACCCTTACCTACAGTCAACAAAGCATACTCTATGATTCTCAGTGCCGAGAGGCAGAAATCCATTCAAAATGAGTTTGGGAGCAGGCTTGATAATGCAGCTTTTGTTGTCAGAGCAGGGGGATATGGTGGAAATTTTTACAGTCAAGGGAGAGGTAGCCAAGGAGAAAAAGTGTGGAATTCAACAGGTGCATCACCTATGGGAAGAGGAAGAGGGTTACCTAGACTGACCAGAGAAGAAAAGGCCAAGCTTATTTGTGAGAAATGTGGGATGAAATGGCACAATATCACCACTTTCTTTAAGGTTCATGGTGTACCTGATTGGTACAGAGATTTAAAACAACAACATGAACATGGTTTTGCCAACAATATTGAAGGGTTGAGATATGATGACAGGGCTAAGTCAGTTGTGGAGAACAAGGAAGTGAAGCAGCCTGATCTTAATGCAGTCATCCAACAACTAAATGAGTTGGCAAGCTATATAAAGGAAAAAGAAAACCTAGGGGGACAAAGTGATTATGCGCAACTGGTGAATTTCTCAGAAAAAGGGAAAGACTACGATTTGCAGTTTGCATTATCTGCTTTAGAAAGTAGTCATCAAGATGACTGGGTAATAGATAGTGGAGCAAGCAAGCATATATGCAAAACCAAAAATCAAATGGTGAATATGCGTTCTCTCAACAGTCCATTTGCAGTGTGCCTACCTGATGGGACTAAGAAAACAGTTCATTAAAAGGGAGATGTGATCATTGATGAGGGAGTTATACTGAAGGATGTGCTGCTAATTCCAGAGTTTAGATACAACTTATTATTAGTGAAGCAGTTTTGTGAATCAAGCACTGAAGTTTGGGAGTTTACCAATAACTCTTGTGTTCTGAAAGATAAGAGTACTGGGCAAATATGTGGAAGAGGTGATGTGGTTGGGAACCTTTACATTTACAGAAGAAAATGGAAAGCTTTAACAACCTTATACACTGTAATATGACTCTAGACAGTTGACACAAATGCTTGGGGCATGCATCTTTCACTACAATGAAGCACCTACAGTTTTTGTGCAAGGATTGTGATAAAGAAGGAGAAGCATTACTGAAGTCTTGTGAAGTATGCTTTAAATCTAAACCACATAGACTACCTTTCCCAATAAGTCATATACAGACTACCTTCAGTTTTGATTTAATCCATGTAGATGTGTGGGGACCTTGCAAAGAAGAATGTCTAACTCATACTCCATACTTTCTCACTGTGGTAGATGACTACACAAGGGCTACATGGGTATTCCTGATGGTGGATAAATCACAGGCAAAGAAGCTAATAAAGGAGTTTATTTTCATGGCAAAGAGGCAGTTTGGGAGAAAAGCGTGAAGAATTAGGTCAGATAATGGAAAGAAATTTCTAAATTCAGAGATGGGTGACTTTCTTGCTGCTAAATGAATTCAACATAAGACTAGTTGTAAGTACACTCCTCAGCAAAATGGGATAGTGGAGAGAAAGCATATGCATTTGCTTGAGATAGCTAGAGCACTTCTCTTCCAAAGCAATTTACCACTGAAGTTTTGGCCATTTGCCATCCTCACTGCTGCCTACATTATTAACAGGCTACCAGCCTTAATTCTGGGATAGAAATCACCTTATGAAAGGTTATATCACAAGGTACCTGAATATCACACTTTAAAACCTTTTGGTTGCTTGGCTTATGCAGCCAATGTCAACCCTGCCAAAACAAAATTTGATTAGAGAGGAATCAAAAGTATTTCCCTGGGATATGTTGTGGGAAAGAAAGGTTACATGCTCTATAATGTTGAGAATGGAGATGTCTATGTTAGTAGAGATGTGGTCTTCTTGGATAATTGCTTTCCCTCTGAGACTGGGGTCTTGGATGCTGAAATTCCTGTTACTATCCCTACCGTACAGGAAGAAAATGTGGAGGACACAATTACTACACCTAACACACCAATACCTGTTCCACAGCAAGGTTTAAGAAGGAGTACTAGGTGCAGACAAGCACCTAGATGGCTGTCTGATTATGAATGTGAGGAAGTAGTTGCCTTACCTACCTTTTTGGCCAACATTTCTACTGAAAGGGAACCAACTCATTATGGTCTTGCTAAGAAAAATCCAGTTTGGGTGACTGCTATGGGGGTGGAACTAAAGGCTTTGGAGGACAACAACACATGGGATTTGACAACTCTACCTGAGGGAAAGAGAGCCATTGGCTCTAAGTGGGTATATAAAATCAAGAGAAGGGCTGATGGAACAGTAGAAAGGTTTAAGGCCCGGTTGGTGGCAAAAGGATATAATCAAGAGGAAGGTGTGGATTTTTTTGACATCTTCTCCCCGGTTGCCAAACTTGTTACAGTCAGGATTTTTATAGCTATTGCAGTTATGAAAAGATAGGATCTTCATCAAGTTGATGTGAATAATGCCTTTCTCCATGGACATCTCACAGAGGAAGTATACATGACTTTACCACAAGGCTATACCAAAGACAGAGAGGGACATGTTTGTAAGCTTAAGAGGAGCTTGTACGGGCTTAAGCAAGCCTCAAGAGAGTGGAATAAAGAACTTAGCAAGAAGCTTTTGATCTTTGGAATGGTTCAGTCCAGACATGATCACTGTTTGTTCACCTTGCAAAGGGGCTCTGATTTTTTGGCTATTTTAGTCTATGTTGATGATGTTCTTATCACAGGGAACAATGCCACTCTTATGACAGGACTCAAATCATTTTTGCATGAAGCATTTACCATTAAAGACCTTGGGCCAGCAAGATATTATCTTGGAGTGGAAATTGCTAGAACCTCAGAGGGAGCTAACATGAACCAAAGGAAGTATATCCTTGATCTTTTAGGAGACTTGGGAATGTTGGACTGTGGGTCAGTAGCCACACCTTTGCCCACTGGGCTCAAATTGCAGAGTGATGATGGTGTGCCACTTGACCAGCCTGACAAGTTTAGAAGGTTGGTTGGCCGGCTCCTTTTTCTCAACATGACTCGGCCTGACGTCACTTATGCCGTCCAACAACCAATTTGTTAGTGCTCCCTCTTCATCACATTGGACTGCTGCTTTACACGTTGTGAGATACTTGAAGGGAACAACTGATTATGGACTGTGGTTTCCTTCTAAGGGATCTTTTACTCTCACAGCCTATAGTGATGCGGATTGGGCCGCGTGCAAGGATACTCGGCGGTCCATCACTGGTTTCTGTATCCTTCTTGGAAGCTTATCTATTTCATGGAAAAGTAAGAAGCATCAGACCGTCTCACGGTCCACGACCGAGGCTGAATATCGCGCTATGAGTTCTTCGGTTGTCGAGCTTATGTGGATCACATACATTCTTGCTGATTTTCACATTCAGATTCCGCTGCCTGTATCTTTGTGGTGTGACAATAAGGTTGCGCTTCATACACGGCCAACCCTGTGTTTCATGAACGCACGAAGCATCTTGATATTGATTGTCACTTTGTGCGTGAGAAATTCAAGGAAGGCTTTGTGTTCCCTATGCACTTATCCACTCAGTTTCAGTTTGCCGATGTCTTTACCAAGCTCCTTCTTGGTCGACGTGCTCATGAGTTGCTGTCCAAGCTTGGCATGTTACTCCCACGTCAAGCTTGAGGGGGGGCTGTTGGATATCCAGCGTGTTTTTCTCTATTTTCACTCTGTTTTTTTTCTTAAGCGTGTGACGTTTTTGTTTTCTTTTCTCGCTTTTATTTTAGTTAGTCGTTTCTTCTTTAAACGACATCGTTTTTCAGTCTGTTGGATGTGGTCACGTGGGTGACATGTATAAAGACTTTCTCTTTTATTTTACATGTTAACACATAAAATATACAGAAAATTGTCCCAAAATTTTGCTTTCGATTTCTTCAGTACCCGCAATATTGTTTGATCTAAATATATTCAAGTTGTACAAAAATTTTATTTTTTCATAAAATTTATTGTCACAATAATATATAATAATATCTTCTTCTATAAAAAGTGTATGTCATTAGTGCTATAAGCAAATAATTTAATTAGTTATTTATAAAGCAGAATGACCTTTTTTTTTAAAAAAAAAAAAAAAAAAGTTAAACCTATTCCACAAACTTTTCTCAGATATGAATATATGATGGATACAACATTTCAAATGTTGATTTAAGCTGGTCAAATAACTAACCTCAGTAAGTTGCTAACCCAACCTGAGTTACAAAGACAGCATATTGCTTGTTTGGACATTGACCATCAACCAAGTTTTTGACTTTTGTGGAGGGAGAAATATATCTCAATGCCACGTAAGTTGATCAAATCCCATCCATAACAAGAGTCTGATGGTCATTAATTAGTATCTCTTACTTTATAATATATTTTGTCAAAAATCTTACTAATTTCCTGTCAACAGGCACAAACATTGAATTAATAATTGTGTGAAAGAAAATCTTTATTGGGAGACTCACCACCATTGTCAGATGTGCGATTCGGGTCGAACAACGAATTAGTCGGAGCAACCGTAGTTGGCTAAAAAAAATAATTGTGTGAAAGAACACTGGTTAGGTCAAGATTTATATTTAATTATCCATGTATTCTTCTAAATTGCGTTTTTTATCTATGTATGAAAAATAAATAAGCAGACTAATGAAATTCGAAATTTCTCACCAAAAACATTGAATTTGTAATTCATTAATTAATTAATTAAAAAAGGCTGCAGTAAAAGACTTGTGAATGAATGATAACATGTAAAAACCGTACAGTACATACTTGCGTTGAATTGAGGGAGAACAAATAATAGATTACATCATTTGTAGCAATAATTCCTCTTGCAACAGCAAGTAAAAAGAAAATAAATATAAAGACCAACAACAAATAGAATAAACCAGTGCATGACCTGATAAATCCCATGTTACTGCATCCAATTTTTGCACGAGTAACATGGGCAAAAATGCACAAAGGAAGCTAAAAAAATAGCAATTAAATTAAATCAAATTTAAAACACGACCGAGACGCGGTAAAACCCGTATTTAAGTCCGTGCCCGGACGAGTGGGGACGGCATAGGCGAATGCGGCGACATCTTGTGGGCCCCACCGCTACCGGCCATCATGATCTCTTCCAGCCTACGGGACGACAGGCTGATCTCAAGCTTCCGGCCCATCTTCTTCCCCATGGGCCTGGCCTGGCCCACAAACTTCCTTATCCGGCCCAAGGCCACCGCCAACATCTCGTCATCCATGTTGGCGAAACACACTCTAAACCACCCGGCCTCCGGGCAGTGGAAAGAAGCCCCCGGCGACACGTTTATCTTCACATCGTTGACAATCACGCGCCAAATCTCCATCTCGGCCTCGAACGTGGGCTCCCTCAACAGGCCCCTCAGGTCCATCCAGCAGAAAAGCCCAGCATTCCCCTTCAGGCACCCGATCCCCACTTGGGCCAGGCCCAACGTCAGCACCCTGTGCCTCGCGCTCAGCCTCTTCGAGCTCTCGCATAGGAACCGGCCCACAAACTCTTCGTCCGACAGCATGGATGCTATGAGGCGTTGAGTCTGGGTCGACACGAGCCCGAAGCTCGACATTTTTCGAGCACAGTTAACGACCCTGTCGTTGTAGGAGTAGATTACGCCTACCCTGAACCCAGGAAAACCGAGGTCTTTTGAAAGGCTGTAAACGATGTGGACCAGGTCGAGGTTAATGGGCTCCTCGGCATGTTGGGCCTGTTGGACGACTTCGGCTATGCTGACGAATCCTGGCTCTGAGAAGACGGTGGCGGAGTAGATCTCGTCGCAGATGAGGTGGATTCCTTTGGAGTTTGTGAATTTGAGGGACTCTGCTAGCGTGTCCCGGTCGATTATGGTGCCTAATGGGTTTGAAGGGTTGTTGAGGAGGAGGCCTTTGACTTTGATGTTCGACTCCTGGGCCTTGTTGTAAGCGGACTCGAGGGCTTGGCGTGTGATCTTGAAGTTATTCGAGCTTTCGCAATTGACGGGCACGAGTTGGATTCCGGTTCGCCATGTCAGGTCCCGATCGTTGCTGCATGATATGTATGATTTTGTGTTAAAAGTGTTACTTTGTGGATAAATTCAAAATGGCTAATATAAGTGAAGTTATTTGAATATGAGTAAGAATTATTTCAAGGAATATTACATTGCTATAAGTAGTAGTTTTCATGGCCCCTCCAATTACTTGCTTGGGGCAATTTGAGCAAATAATTATTGCAAAAACCAAACAACAATTGGGTCCGTAGAGTAATAGATCATTGACTTTTGAGACACATGATTTATATCCTTTTACTTACCCTGGATAATATGGTATTGGCACCAATAATGCATCACCAGGGTCAGCCAAGCAGAAGGCCAATGTCTCTTGAGCACCCGTTGCACCGCCACTCATCACTATACGGTCTGGGTCGAACCGGATCCTGTTTCCTCTCACTCTCTCCATGAATCTTGCAACAGCCTGCAAAACAATTTGTACCATTTTATTAAGAATCATTCGAGACTAAATTCGTTCGTGATTTATGAATCTTGAAATGTGCAATCTAAAGGGCTCAAAGTTTTTGTTAGTCCATACATTTCTGAATTCGGGCAAGCCATGATAATCCTGAAAAATCGCGATATCCTTGAAGTCACTTGCACCTTCTGCTGTGCAGATTGAGGCCTTTGGGTTGTTTTGGACCCATTCTTGGACTAAATCTAATGAAAGCTGCAGCACATAAAAGAACTCAATGTTATATGTCTATTAGTAACTCTAGAGTAGGCTTATAAAGCCTACTAAGAGATAGCTTTATTAGTTTGTTATAATGTTTTTGTTACCTGGTTTTCTGCTAATCCCATCTGAATAACCCCATTAGGGTTTTTCGTGGGGTGATAAGGATTACTATCGTACGCCTTCCAACCGTCGAAAAAGGCAGAGTTTTCACCGTGCCCGTCGTTGCTCGCGATTCTCGATAGAACCTCCATTTTCCGGGCTCAAGGGGTTCTTAGTTTAAAAGTCAAAAGTTAGAACTTTAAGAAATGAAAGAATGAAAGAATGAGAGTTAGGTGAGTTTGAGAATTGTTTGAAGATGTTTTTTAGTACAATGTTAATGCGTGTAGGCTAAGGTTTATATAGTGTTTAGGATTTGAAGTGGGTTACCCGTGTTCAGAATAGACGGTGTTAATGAAGGTTCCTATGGACACCCCACACGAACACTTGTCCATAGTTATAGTAAACGGAAGAATTTTAATTCTCAAATTTGAAATTCACTTTGAATAGAAGATATTGCGTCTTTGGCTGCAGGCGGCTTTGAAAGTCTAATATATCCCTGTGATCATATGTTGCCTAAAATGTGAAGCAGAAGTGTCAATTATTTAAAGTGGATTGCTATTTACCGCCCCTATTACTAGTCACCGCCCCCAATTACGAAAATACCCTTTACTATATTTCTTTCTTTTCTCTCTCTAAACTTTCTATTTCTCTAAAACCGAAACTTCAACGACCCGTACGAACGTCAAAAAAATCTCCAAAAAATGTCGAAAAAATCCTACAATCTCGGCAAAGCGTTCTTCTCTAGCAAGGTATTTTTTTTTTTTATAATTTAAATAATTTTTTATTTTTTTTTAAATCTGGACCCGCGTCCGGCCGGTCGGACCGGACGCGGGGCGAGCCGTGCGGTATCCTTTTCCGTACGGCCCGCGGGCGACCGGTCTTCTTTACCGGTCGCCCTTTGAAATGTGCGGCCGGACCGGGCCGCACGGTCGGCTGTAGGTCTGACTTATGGGGCCGGTCGTACGGTGACAAAACCGGCCCCTCCGGCCGGTAACGAACCGGCCGGACGTTTTTTTTTTTTTTAAATTATATTATAATTAAATAATAAAAATAATTATTCTAAATATTAATAAATATTATAATATAAAAATAATTAAAAGACGTAAAAAAAAGTATAATTTTGTAAATTAACATTTTAATTAACGTTCAACTTTATAAAAAACAAATGTCATCTTGGTGTGCCTCTTGTGACAGTTCAGAAGATTGGCTGGTTCTCGGTCCACACGAAGAAGTGCGTCCACGCGAAGAAGTGCGTCCACGCGAAGATGTGCGTCCACGCAAAGAAGTGCGTCCACGCGAAGAATTGCTTGTACGATCTTGCGAATTATCCATATACTCCCATCGCGATGCTTCACGCTTAGTAGAATCAGTTTTTTTGGGACGACCTCGCGTATTTTCCTTAACCTCCGGTTCTCCATATGCTTGTTGGTCCGGGTAAAGCTGACCGTAAATGAGGTTATTGCAGTACCGCATCGTCGCAGGATCGCTCGCTTCAACCTCTTTGGCAAGCGTCCGAAAAAACTCAACATCTGTCCAGGCACCCTGATTATGCTGGCTCTGGTGATTTGTCCCTAAAAGTATACGATCCAAAAATTGAAACAATTAAACAAAGTAATATACTTTAATGTGTAATTTAAAATGAATCAGAAAGTAGAAAATTATAAATAAACATTAACCAGATTTTAAGAGAGTCACTATTCACACAACTCGTGTGAAGATGTGACACGAGTCGTGTGAGCTCACACGACCCGTGTCACAAGGCACACGAGTCGTGTGAAAACCCCGTGGCTTTTTATCATTTCTCTTGAGTAAGCACACGACTCTTGTGACCGGATGACACGAGTCGTGTGAGTGTCACACGACCCGTGTCACTGGGCACACGAGTCGTGTGAAAACCCCGTGGCTTTTGATCCATTCTCCTCAGTAGGCACACGACTCGTGTGACCATGTGACACGAGTCGTGTGAGGATCACACGACCCGTGTCACTAGGCACACGAGTCGTGTGACCTGCCTGCACCTTGTTTTTTTTTTTCAAAGTAATATACTTTAATGTGTAATTTAAAATGAATCACAAAGTAGAAAATTATAAATAAACATTAACCACAAATTACCTGGTTCTAACATCTCTAGTGTCTTCCAGAACTCGTGGATCATGTCAATACCAATCGCCATTTTAGAATCATGTGTTGTACGAAGCGTACATGCACAAGGAATTCCATGTGTGGTAGGCAATACACAGCCGCAGCGCAAGTAAACTTCATGGCTCAAGTCTCGCATCCTTGTTAGCTCATCGTTCAATAAATTCATACAGTAATGCGAGACTCTCAATGTCAAGCACGCGAAAGTCAATACCGTATATGTCGTACTCTTCCTAAGTCTCGAACACTCAAGTGCTGTCCTGTTAATACATTACAAAACAAATTATAATATACTTATATAATATAATATATTATACTTATATATAATATATTTGAGGAATGTACCTGATTTCAGTCAATTGAGACTCGATCTCCTTATCAATCTTATGCCACACTGTATCTAGCGCGCCAGTCGACGTGCGAGCCACTTCTTCAACACAGAGTGGGCACTTTCCACCCTACAGGTAGTTGTGTTGCCAAAATGTGTTACTTGGTTCGTCCAGGCTTTCACAAACTTCTCCATGTGGCCTGGCCACGTCTGCTCGAGATATTGTACCACTTTTGAATCATTCCCGTATTTTGCATTCAATTGAGCTACGACAGTGTCGTACTCATCCGACGTACTAGCATCCATAATCGACTTCCACCGACCGCGCAAGAACCTCTCAGATAAATTTTTATCTTTCCCAAACAAGTTGTACACTTTGTTTTCCACATCCTTGTTGATGTGCCACGTGCAGAGTAAGTGGGCAGATTGGAGAAAATGCCTCCTAATAGGAGTCAATAAGCCCAACTCTCTGTCACTGACAACCGCATTAGGATGCACCTAAGCAGCGTCAAAAATTAGTGAGACACGCAAAAAAAAACTCAAATTTTTTTTTACCATATTGCAAAAAGTACGTTTATATACTAATTAAATTAATCATGTACTTCATATAAATTCTTACCGTATAGCCTATGAGAAGTCTCAACTTGTCGAGAACCCAATCATAACTGGCCTCTTTCTCGTCCTTCATGAGGGCATACGCAATTAAAAAGTTATTGTTGCACGGCGTCATGCCAATCATCTCGACCAACGGCATCTTGTACCTGTAAAAATGAGACCAAAATAAATAAATTATAATCACATTAAATCTAATCCAAAATACAAATTTAAATTAATACTAATAACATATCTATAAATTTAAAGTGCCTGTTGGTTTTGTACGTCGAATCTATGTCGACAAACCAATAATAAGTCCGGAATAGACTCCCTGAATCAGGATGGGCCATGAATATGTGTGTCAGCGCATTTGTATTCGAATCGACATTTGTATAAACTATGTAGTTGCTGCTGTTTGCCAAATGTAGAAGTTGGGTAGGAACGTCCCTACCCTCAAAACTTTCCTTACGCAACCAGTCTCTATAGTTATATACATGTCACCGATTAGCATGGTCGTGTGGATTTTTTTCATGGACGACGGCCAAAATATTTGCTGGTGTCACATGCGCAGCAGTCATTTCACGAATAATTTTTTTGGATGACACGCTTATGCTGCTCGACTGTCGATGGCCCTCAGGATACACGACAAATGAATGATTATGATATCCCTTCATTTCGTCTTGACTCGTGTGGATCATCCAGTATGTCGATCTGGCAACACGCTTTACTTGTATCTCAAAAGGGCACTGGCACGCTTTCATTTTTGAACGTCTCGAAACAGCTTTATTCATATCTACGTTTTTACCTCTATAATGTTCGCCTCGATCGCACTTCAAGATCTTCAGCCTTCCGGGTTTTTTGTGTTTCGAAATAGTCAAAAAGAAACCATTCAGAATTGCCGTACTTTTTGCATCCTTAATAGCCTCCACATCACTAATAAACAGCGTAGTTGTATTGAAAGCGGAACGGTAATCAACATCATCTCCTCCAAAATCTTCTAAAGACACTTGCAATGTATTTAATAATTTTAAAGCATTTAAAATTAATAATTAAAAAAAATAAAAAAAGGATGTCCGGCCGGTCGGACCGGGTTACAACCGGCCGTCGCGGCCGGACACCAAGTGGGCCGTACGACCGGTCCGTTAGTACAACCACCGGTACGTACGGCCACCAAAACCGGACGGCTGGGGGTGTGTCCGGTCGAACCGGCCGGACGTGTGTTAAGTCGTCCGGTCCGGTCGGCCGGACATCACCGGTGCCGTGCGGTAAAACGGCCGGGACGGTTTTTTTTTTTACCTCCGAGCTGGTCGACATCTTGCGGACACAAAAAATGAAAAGGGCAAAATCGTCCAAGGGGGGCGGTGACTAGTAATAAGGGGAGCGGTAAATAGTAATGCCCTTATTTAAAAGGTCTTTTTCATTGAAAAGTGGAAATCTCTCACGCTTGTGAATAGGTATGAGCAAAACCGAGTCGAAATTGAAAACTCGAGCCCAATCGAGTAATTCGGTGCAGTTTGGTTCGGTTTTTTTAATGTAAAGAAAATTCAGTTAGTTTTCGATTCGGTTTTTTCCTACATTGCGGTGCGGTTATAGTTTTTCGTAAGTTCAGTTTTCAGTTTTGTTCTGTTCGGAGCGGTGTGATTTTTGCACCCAACTGCACCAAGTTGAATAAAATGTATAAAAAAAATCGAGATAATAGTGAAAATTGAACCGAACCATGCGATTTGGTTAGAATTCCTCCAGCCGGCACCTCGATAGGCCTCACTCTGGGCCTCTTCACCACCCCCGAATCCATCCCGACTATTTCGACAGCAACTCTGGTCGTGACTTCCAACAGTCCCCCGTTCTTTCTGGGACGCGATCACCGACAAATCCGCCGACGTGATAGAACGACGGAGATTCACTTTTGACAACTATCGGGACAATCCCCGTGGGTCCATTTCCTGCTCCGAGGAGGGACGACACACGGTAAGTCTCCATAAGCTCGATGTTTCCTCACTTGTTAAGTTGCATCATGCCCAAGTACTATAACTTTAACCACAACCCAGTCGCTTTTGACCTTAAGGAACTTATATTTCGACATGGCTTAAG